CAATTGCCTGGAATATGTTCAATAAGATTGATATCAGTTTTTCCTTGTATGTCTCACAAAATTCAGCTGGGAAGCTATCTGGCCTGGGACTTTCTTGGTGGGGAGATTTCTGATGACTGAGTCGATTTCCTGGATTGTTATTGGTCTGTTTAGAGTTTCAATTTCTTTTTGTTTCCACCTTGGAATCCCAAGGTTATCAGAAGGTCCTCCATTTCCTTTAGGTTTTCTAGTTTATTTGCACACAGGTGTTCATAGTAATCTGTGATGATCTTTTGAATTTCTTCAGGATCAATTGTGACTTCACCCTTTTTGTTTCTGTGTTTATTTAGACTTTCTCTTTTTTTAGTCAATCTGACCAGAGGTCTGTTAACCTAATTTATCCTTTCAAAGAGCCAACTTTTTGTCTTGCTGATCCTTTCTATGGTATTTTTATCTTCTACATCCTGCAATTGTAATTTTATCTTGGTAATCTGGTTTCTGCTGCTGAAGTTAGGATTTAAATGGTCCTGCTTTTCCAGCTCCTAATTTAGGTGAGACATTAGGCTGTTTACTTGTGATCTTTCTGTTATCTTTTTTTTTTTTTTTTGAGTTGGAGTCTCACTCTGTCACCCAGACTGGAATGCAGTGGCCGCTCCCGGCCACCGCAGCCTCAACCTGCGGGGCTCCGGCGATCCTTCTGCCTCAGCCTTCCAAGTAGCTGGAACTACAGGCATGCGCTACCACATCCAGCTAATTTTTTATTTATTGTAGAGAAGAGGTCTCACCAAGTTGCCCGGGTGGGTCTCGAACCCGTGGGCTCAGGCAATCTACTCACCTCGGCCTCCCAAAGTGAGGAATTACAGGCTGAGCCACTGAGCCCAGCCCTGTTTTTTTTTTTTTTTTGAGTTGGAGTCTCCCTGTCGCCCAGACTGGAGTGCAGTGGCTGCTCCCAGCCACCGCAGCCTCGACATGCTGGGCTCCAGCGATCCTTCCGCCTCAGCCTTCCAAGTAGCTGGAACTATAGGCATGCGCTACCATGCCCGGCTAATTTTTTAAATTATTATAGAGATGAGGTCTCGCCTGCCCAGGCGGGTCTCGAACCCGCGGGCTCAGCCAATCCACTCACCTCAACCTCCCAAAGGCATGGGATTACAGGCTGAGCCACCGAGCCCGGCCAACCCTGTTATCTTGACGTGTATGTGCAGTGCTATGAATTTTCCTCTTAACACTGTTTTCATGGCATCTCAGAGATTCTGGTGTATCTTTGCTTTCATTTGTTTCCAGATCTTTTTGTACTTGTCTTGATTTCCATGTTGTTTAGTGTCTGTGTCTTTGTGTATTCTGGGGGATCTTGGTAGCAATTGTTTATTTTTACTCCACTGTGATCTGATCTTTTGAAATGTGTTCACTCTTAATTTATGTCTAAGAATGTGATCAATCTTAGAGTGTGTTCCATGTGCTGATGAGTAGAATGTATCTTCTGTAGATGTTGGGTGTTTTATGGATGTCTGTCCTATCCATTTGATCAAGTGTCAAGTTGAGGCTCTGGATCTCCTTGTTGGTTTTCTGCTTTGATGATCTATCTAAGCCTGTTGGTGGGATATTTAGGTCTCTAACTATGATTGTGTGAGAGTCAATGTCCTCTCTTAGCTTACTCAGTAGTTGTTTTATAAAACCTGGTGCTCCTGTGTTGGGTGCATATATGTTTAGGATGGATATTTCTTGCTGATGGATTAAGTCTTTTATCATTATGTAGTGTCCTTCCATTTCCTTTCTAATTTTGGGTGAAGACTGTTTTGTCTGATATCAGAATAACTACACATGCCCTCTTCTGTTTTCCATTCTCCTGAAAGATCATTTTCCAGCCACCAGCTCTGAGCCTGTGGGTGTCCTTTGCAGTGAGATGAGTTTCCTGGAGGCAGTATTGGATCATGCTTCTTCATCCAGTTTGCCACTCTGTCTCTTCAGTGGCACATTTACCCCATTCATATTCAAGTTGATTATTGAAATGTGAGAGTTGATCCCTGTCATAGGGCTCTTAGGGTGTTGCTTTGTTTCCTTTTAACTTTTGTATTATATATGTTTGTGTGTTTTCATGTTTTTGAGTGCTCTGTATGCTCTACTAACTCTGTGCTCACCTGTACTTTTGTGATGGGTACAACCATTCTTTGTTGTTCTGTGGTCCACACCTTATTAAGTGTCTCCTGAAGGGCTGGTCTGGAGATGGCATATTCTCTTAGCAATTGGAGATCTGAGAAGAATTTTAGCTATCCATCACTGATCACGCTTAGCTTGGCTAGGTAGGAAATTCTTGCTGGAATTGCTTATCTTTAAGAATGTTAGAAATTGAACCCCAGTTCTTTCTGGCTTGCACTGTTTCTGCAGATAAGTCTGGAGCGATTCCAATGGGTGTTTCATGGTAGGTAGTCTGACTTTTCTCTCACTTCCTTTAGGATCTTTTCTTTCATGCTTATTTTCTGGAAGCAAATTACTATGTCCCTTGGGGATGGCCTTCTTATATGATACCTTGCAAGGACTTCTCTGAATTTCTCATGCTTGGATGGCCACCTCTCTAGCAAGATGTGGGGAGTTTTCTTGAATGCCCTCATAGAATGCTTGTTCCATTGCACTCTCCATTTCCCTTTCTGCTTCAGGGATATCAATCAGGTGTCGATTTGGCTTCTTGAATAGTGCCACATTTCTCAGTGGCCTTCCTCCTTCCTTTTGAGCTCTTCGTCTATGTTTTTGACAGACTAGGTTAATTCCATAGTTTTTGTTTTTGTTTTGAGTTGGAGTCTCATTCTGTCGCCCAGACTGGAGCTCAGTGGCACGCTCCGGCCACCGCAGCCTCAACCTACTGGGCTCCGACGATCCTTCTGCCTCAGCCTTCCTAGTAGCCAGAACTATAGGCATGCACTACCAAGCCTGGCTAGTTTTTGATTTATTGTAGAGACAAAGGTCTTGCCAAGTTGCCCGGGCAGGTCTCAAACCCGTGGGCTCAGGCAATCTACTCACTTTGGCCTCCCAAAGTGTAGGGATGACAGGCTGAGTCACCAAACCTGAGCAATTCCATAGTTTGATCTTCAAGCTCCGCGATCCTTTCCTCTGCCAGCTTGACCCTGTTTGTTACTGCATTCTTGATTTCCAGGATGAAGTTTTTCATTTCCATTATTTCAGATGGGTTTTTTCTGAATTGGCCTCCTTGGCTTTTGCTTCCTGTACAACTTCTGTGAGTTTTGCTACTAGTTTCTCGTTTCCTGTTCATTTTTTGTCATCCAGTCTCTGATTTCTGTAGCTGTCATCTGGGACCAGTGTTCTGGGGAGTTTCCATTGTTTCTGCTCTGATAACTGCTTTTTCAGGCACTGTCCCTTGAGGACTGAGGGATGCCTGTATTTTTTCGTTGATTTTTTTGTTGATGTTTGTCCCTCATTTGTGACTGATCTCTCTTCACTCTGTAATTCCTCTATTGATTTGTTGCTCTGAAGCTATCCAATTACTCTCTGTTCTAAGGTCCTTTCTGTGGTTCAAGTACAACTCTCAGAGAGAGGGGCACTCAGTTCAGCTCCTTGCTCCACCTTGTGGCAGGTTTCTGTCACTGCAGGTTTTCTTTCCCACTGCTAAACTGGTCCCACCAGCTTTCAGCCCCTGCTGCAAGTACTCTGCTTAAGGTTTATTTCTGTTGCTCCAGCCCTGTTCAGGTCCTCACTCTGCACTTGAAATAGAGCGAGTTCACTGTCTTGGAGGAGGGCGTGGACTCTGCCCTGAAGGGATGCAGTGCTTGGAGAGAGTTCTTCCTGATCTGGCTGGGGAGATGGCCACCAGCCACTGGCAGTGCTGGTTCACTCTGCAGTCAGGCTTCCCCTGTGACCTGTTAGTCCAGCCGTCAGTGGCTGTTCCAGCATGGGTCTTTCTCCCATTCTGCTTGGGCTGTGGTTACCTACTGCCGTGCCGTGTCCAAGAGTCTTCCTGTGTGTGGCCAATGACCCATGTTTGGTTGAGAAGTGGGAAACTGTCCCAACGTGTTTTTGACTCACTTACACACATCTGTTTGCCAGGCACATTTTCAGTTCTTGTGCAAGCCTGGCACATGCAGAGAATAGGGTGCCCTGATTCCTGCATCTGCCTTCACTTTCTGGTCTCAGTGTTCAGAGATCTTTGCTGGGTGCAGGGTGTTTCACCTGTCCAAAAGTGTCTGAGGTGCCTCTGTCGACAGGTGTCCTCTGGGTCCCTACTCATTGCCTTGCTCAGGGCCAGTCTGTTGCTCCATGGTGGCCATCATATCTTCTACCTCTGGCCTTATTTATCTTTATTTTTATACAGACAGGGTTGCCCAGGCTGGATTACAGTGGTACAAACATAGTTCACTGTAGCCTTGAACACTTGGGCTCAAGGGATCCTCCCGCCTCAGCCTCCAAGTAGGGGGGACTACAAACAGGACCCACTGTACCTGGCTTCCCCGAGCTTTTTATAAATCCTTTTATAAGCCTGAGTGCAGTGGCTCATGCCTGTAATCCCAGCACTTTGGGAGGCAGAAGCGAGAGGACTACCTGAGCCAAAGGGTTTGAGACCAGCCTGGGCAACTTGGCAAGACCTCATCTCTACAATAAATCAAAAGTTAGCTGGGTGTGGTGGTACACACCTGTAGTTCCAGTTACTTGGAAGGCTGAGGCTGAAGGATTGCCTGAGCCCAGCAAGTTGAGGCTATGGTGGCCATGAGCATGCCACTGCACTCCAGCCTGGGCAACAAAGTGAGACTCCGACCCCCCAAAAAAAATATTTTTACAATTTAAAAAAAAAATTCTTTCAGATTCCCCCTATTGCCCTGGCAGTCCTCTTGAAACCTCCCAGACATCACTAAGCAGTGCACAGGTGACAGTGCTGGAAGGTCCCCACAGCTCCATTGGACATGCTTAGAACAATTGGGGCTCTGAACAATCCATACGCCTGCTCTATGCTGGTACCAACTCTACCATACGGTGGAGCAGACCCGGGACCTGGTGCTGGAAACAGGAATACTTGAGAAGGAGGATAAATCCATTTATTTTATTTTGAAATAAAAAGCAAAATAAACCGGAGCCGCGTCACCAGGGTGCCACAACCCCATCCCCGCCTCCTTCCTCTGCCCTGTGCTATTAATAAATAAGTTTCCCAGTCCCAAATAATTAGAATCTTCTCATTTGCCAGTTCCAACCACTGCTATTATACAGGGGGTGGCTCAACCCCCAGAATATACAAAATGTTACACAAATACAATATGTACACAGGGGGAGGGGAGCCCAACCCAGCAACCTGTGCTCTTGCCTGGCCAACAGTTAGCCCAACTGTCCACATGAAGAGAATGCCACCCCATTGTCGTGCCCCAAGTGTCTCTGAGTAAGAGAAGGGAGCCACCTAAAGAAGGCCTGCTTGGTGGGGTGAGGCCACCAGGGAGTCCCTGCTACTCCTGAGGGGCAGCCTCCAAAGAAACTGATTTGTGAGCCTGTGGCTCTTTGTTTTTCTGGAAGAAAGCAAACCCAGAAATTAAGATTGAGCCCTGATCAAGATGGCAAAGGGCCTGCACCGGTTTGTCTCCCTGTTAGGCAGGGGTCTTATCTTACTACTCTAAAGATAAAAGGCAGGGAAGGAGTGGCAGGGAAAGGTGGCAGGGGCATGGTGGGAGGGACGGTTGGCAAGGACAGGGTGAGAGGGGAAGAAACAGGGAGGGGACAGAGCCCCCGGCCCCACTTCTCTGGGCTCTAAATGACCATAATCTTCACCTCATCATTTTCGTCAGCCCTGTAGAAGAAGGGGATGCAGGGGCTGTTGCCCAAGCCTGGACGCTCCTGCGGGTTCTGAATTTCATGCAGCAACTGAATGATCTGCTGTGCAGTTAGATTCTCTGGAGGAGAACCCTCCTCCGTCTCTTCTTGTGCAGGTTCCCCGTCAACGAGGCTCACCTCGCAGAGATCTGTGGATGGAGAGAGGCCAGCCTCTGAGCACTGTGCCCTGCCTGGCACCTGCCCCCCTCCCTGAGGGTGCCACTCACCAGCCTGCTGCACGTCAGCAGCTCCCAGCTCCTGGGGGGCTGCAGACCCTGGAGTGGTCTCTACAGCAGGGCTTTGGGCGGCTGCCAGGAATTTGCCATGCCGCTTTTCGCGCTCCTTCACAAGTTGTAACACCAGCTCCTGCAGCTCCAGTAGCTTCCCCTGAAGGGAGAGGTGCTCAGTGCCCACCCACCACCCGCCTGAACTGCAGACAGGTCCTGGGCCCTACCTTCATCTCTTCCTTGTCCTGGGCCAGTCGGCTGATGTACTCCTCCTTCTCTCGGTGCCGCTCCTTCAACACTGCCCTCTGGTTCTGGTAGAGGGCAATGTACTCGCCTGCAGGATAACAGGGCTCAGAGGCTGGCTCCTCCATCCCCAGGGAGCTGCTGCACCATGGCCCTAACACCCTGGCTCACCGATAGTGTCAGTCTCGCCAGAAAGCTGGATGCAGCGATGCTCCAGCTCCTCCAGCCGCTCCTTCAGGTCTGCCTTTTCCCGCATCACTTCAATGAAGCGGCTCTAGAGCCAGAACCCAGAGTCACGGTTGGCAGCAACATGCCACCCCACCCTACGTGGGCCTGTCAGGAGAGACTCTCTCACCTGCAGATTCTCCATGGCCCCCTGGAGGGCCTGGTACTCCTCCTCAGACACAGCCTCGGTCCTGGTCGCAGGGGCTGGTGTCACCTCCTGCGGCGCCTTCCGGGTCAGGTCTGTCAGCTTGACTAGGCGCTGGAAGCGCGCTCTGTGTTTCTTCAGCTGCTCCCGCAGCTGTGCCCGCTCCTTTTCAGCACTAGCCAGAGCCATGTTAACATATGCCACCTGCAGGCAAGACAGGCGTGTTTTTGTGGAGAGAAGCCACCAGGACAAATTGGGGGCAGGGCAGACAGCTGGAGAGAAGCCCCTTTCGGGCCTCTTTGAGTGCACCTGTTGGCTACAGGTGTAACGGTGTGTGATCACTGACTCCAGGAAGGGGAGAGGGTTGAGGAAAATTAGAGGGCCGGGAAACCAAGACAATAAGGGTGTCCAGGCAGCCCAGAGTAAGGCAAGGAGTCGGGCTCACCATAGCTTCTTGGGTCTCAAAGTCCGCTGGGATGGTCAGTATGGGCTGATGAGGGTCATCATCCTTGACCTCCTCATCGCTCAACTCATAACCTGGTGGTACAGCCAGAGGGGTCCTCAGACAACCCGGCAAGGGAGGCACAGGGGCGACCCCTGCCCCACCCTCACTGTGTAACCCGGGACCGGCCCCTCACCCAAGGAGAACGATCAACTGTTCCTAAGTTCTCTTCTAAGCCCTCAGTCCCATGCCACAAGAGTCCCCGGGCTTCCTCAGACTCACTCACCTTCCTCGGGGAGCTCAGTAGAACTCAGCTGGGCCTGCAGCTCCTGGTTCTGCTGGTCGGCGGCCTGCAGACGCTCCTGCGGGCGAAGGCGAGTGAGAAGGCCCAGGTGGCCAGCCCCTCCCCCGTCGGGCCCACTCCCAGCCCCTCCCTCACCTGGGCCACTTGCAACTCCTGGCGGGCCATCTCGGCCTCCGCCTTGCTCACAACTGACTCGTGTTTTATCTGGTCTATGACTTGGATGTGCAGGAGCATTTCCTTGTGCAGCGCCTCCTTTTCAGAGACCAGCTGCTGGTAGGCAGCCACCTGCTGCTGGTAGGCAGCCACGTACTGCTGTAGGTAGGTCAAGTACTGATCTCGCTGCTCCTGCAGACTCTGAGCCTCCTGGTTTTTCTGGTCCATCTGCAGGAAGACCCCAGGTGTGAGGGCAGGCGTTGATTTGCTTCCAGATCCCAAGCCCATATAGGGTGGCAGAGACACTGTTGCTCAACTCATAACCTGGTGGGGCAGCCAGAGGCAACTGCAAACAGAGAACCCTGGCTGCCCTGCTCCTGGCCTAAGTGACTACTCCCCTTGCTCAGAGGCCCATGGTGCCTTCACCCAGACTCACACCCCATCACTTCCTTTCCTATCACTTTAACTGTAGGCCACAGATGGGTGGAACAGGAGAAGGAACCGACCAACTACTGTTAACTGCACACTAAATGCCTACTACCTTACATAAACTATCTTTTTTTTTTTTTTTTTT